TTACAAGTTGAATTGTGAAAAGAAAAGAAAAAGGATATCCAAAGAGAGGAAGAAAGTGTATACCTCTGTTACAAGTTGAATTGTGTAAAGAAAGAAAAAGGAAAACCAGAGAAGAAAGTGTATACCTCTGTTATAAGCTGAATTGTATAAAGAAGAAGAAGGAAAGAAAGAAGAAAACCAAAGAGAGGAAGAAAGTGTACATCCCTGTTGCAGTGAGTCGGGTTTAGAAACCGAACTGTCTACAGAAGAAAAAGGAAGGAAAGAAAAAGGCAAAACAAAGAGAGGAAGAAAGTGTATACCTCTGTTACAGCCGGACAGTGTGTGAAATTGTGTTTGTGTCGAGAAAAGAAAAGAAAGGACAATGATAAAAAAAGAGAACTGAATATAAAAGATAAGTAATCATATTTTGGACCCGTAGTAGAAAGATATACATACATCCATGAATATTATGTTCTTGCAAACACCTTTCCACATGTCAAAACAATAATTGTAACTCCTATTCCATCTTTTTTGTGTATGCATTGGCTTCTGCATTCAATTCATAGTAATTGATACTTATATTTTTGTATGTTCGGGTTCAGTTGAATCCATTTGGTGTTAGGCGAATTTTGATATCCCAACGTAAGTTTTGAGATCTGAACTTATCTGTTCATTTATTTTGATATTTGTATATATTAAAATTCTTGTATCAAAAGTTGCTAAGCCTTATAGTTCATCCTTGTATTGTGGATCAGTATTCGTATTGAAAACGAAGCGGACCTGGGAAAGATTACCGTTCGATTATCCCAATCGAACGGTGGTCTTAAAAATATTTTTGTTTATCAATTGTCCATTGTCCCGATCTGGGAGAGATAGCTTGTATCTCTCCACAGGTGTGAGAATGTATATATCTCCTAGTCGGCGTATGATCGCCTTATAAACCCATTGGTCGACTGGGGCATATGACAATGGACAATTAAATTAGATCCTCCAGCATTGAGAAACTGTTTACAGAATTCAAAATTCATATTCTTCAGCTATTATACAATTTAAAACCAGAACTAATTTCTCCCAACTAATTCTGCCATTAATTTTTTTTTTTTCTTTAATCATTTTGCCCTATATAAGACAGTAAAGCCACTAATTTGCAAAGGGTTACTGAGTGTGAAAGAATAAGAAAAAAGAGAAACATTATTTCGGAGCGAGAACAATAGAAGTAGTAATGAAGAAGACAGTAGATAATAATTGACATTGAATTTAAATTTGTTTTCTAATCCTTTCACCCCATGCAAGGCAGTAAAGCCACTAAGACACAAAGGGTTACTGAGTGTGAAAGAATAAGAAAAAAGAGAAACATTATTAAAGAATAATAATAATAGAAGAGTAATCAAGTAGATAATGTTTGACATTGCATTTAAATTTTTAAAGATCAAAGTTGGCTGGAAAGCATGTAGTCAGAAGAGAGTTCAACAAGCAAGAAGTGTGATAAAAAATAACCATTAGCATAAAACTTACAGTTACATCTGGCCAATTCAACAGCGAATTGATGAGAACTTTTTGCCAATTCAGTACTGTGCTCTCTCTCTCTCTCTCTATATATATATATATATATATATAAAAAACGTTGTAGCCTCTGTCTGTTTGTTATCAAACTCTTCCTAGGGTTTTGGAGACAGACCCCATAACTATATATATTCTGAAACTACATTACCCAGGGTACTTGGATAAGTATATTCTATTTTGATCAAAATGGATCCTCAGGGGGGAGGGTGTTGCCCCATCCCTTAAATTTTTTCCCCACTTCGATATAAATTAAATTTAAACAAGGTAATGACTACTATCTAAAAGAAGAAGAAAGCCAGAAGACGGAGGTCACATTGGCAAGATCACTGAATAATATTGTAATGCATCATTTTTCTCCACAAATTATAACAAAGATTTAAAATCAATCATCATTTTCTTACAAAAAAAACGTGTGACATGCAGCAAGTCACGGGTAGTTCAGCTAGTAAATTCATAAAATCTAGGTACCATTTATTAAAAACTAGCTGAACACTCCTCCTATGGACAGACCAAAGTAAGTTATAATAGAAGTTCTGGTAAAACTAATTTTTTTGTTAATCATTTCACCCCATGAAAAGCAATAAAGCTACTAAGACAGAAGGGCTTACTGAGTGTGAAAAAATAAGAAAGAGAAATCTTTTTAAGGAATGAGAACAATAAAATAGTAATCAAGACAATTGATAACAATTGACATTGGATTTAGATTTTTAAAGATTAAAGTTGTCTGGAAAGCACAGAACCAGAAGAAAGTTCCATAAACAAGAAGTGTGAGAGAAACAACTTCTTAGCCAAGAATTTAGTTCCATCTAGCCAAGGCAACTATAAATTGATGAAAGCGTGTCACCAATCAGAAAAATCCTTGATATTTAGTTTTATTTGCATGCAAAAATTTAAACGCACTTCTGGAAAATAAATTTATACAAATGGGTTAATAGAGGAATCCTTAAAAAAAAAAATTTTGGCAAGTGGGTCGGTTGATAGCTTCAGTCCAACTTTATTTTTTTCTTTTAACAATTTAAAAAATTTGACCTCCAAAAACGTGGTTTAATACTTTCTTTTTGACACTTCTGCTTTAATCTTGTTGAAAAACTGATTGGCATTTTGGTGAACAAATTTATTTGGTCCCACAAACATTTGGTCAAATTTCCAGTTGCCAATGAAATAACATCAATTCAAATTTACCAAAATTAATGTTGTACAGACTTATGTCAATACTCTTTGTGAGAAGTACATTTTGTGAGGCAGTACAAGAAACATTTCAAAAAGTGGAAATTAAATGTTAAAATAAGTTCTATTTTATTTTTTCAAGGATATTCCTATATATATATATATATATATATACACACACACGAGTTAAAGATCAAATATGGATCGAAATCCAACAGTATGATAAAATAAAGAACAAATAGGAAACATATATAAAACTAACATGTTTCATTAAAGCTTCATCAGAGATTGAGAGAAAACAGACAAAAAGACAGAAACACTGGTACTTTCAATTGTTTGGGTCAGTTCTCATTGGTCAGACACATGTCACTTGTATTAAAACCAAAGATAATTCTATGTGTAAGTTTGTGAAAATTCTTGGATGTCTAAGTTGAAATCAGATGGTAATATGTATTCATAATTGTGTATGTGTGTCTGTCTAGTGGGAGTTCTAATGTCTTCACCACTGTGCGGTCAGCCAGTGCAGTAGAGTGTCATTTGATTCTAATTCATGGTGGATCTCTTTAAGCATGTATTCTTTGTACAAGTTAGATTCTTTAAGAATGAATTCAAAGAAAGATGGCAAAGATGTAATGTAATATTTTAGGCATGTGCTTATAGTTGGTAATAATGTTTTCAATGTATTTTCTCCTTAAAGAATTAAGTTCTGTTTTTAATTAAAGTGGCATTAGTGAAATTAATGTCCAGCATCACTTTGATGCAAAATGAGAGAGTTAGATCATTTGTCCAAACACAAGTCTCTCTTGTGTTCCTAGATGCAGGTTATTAGATCACGTGACGTCTCCCTCACATAAAACATTTTTTTTTAATTGTAATCAATTTATTTGATAAATTCCGACATTTGAATCGGTGTTAGGTTTATTTTTCTTCCAAATTATATCTCCAATTGTCTTGGAGGTGAAGGTAATGATCCTGGTATTAAAGATGACTAATTTGTTTGAGTTTAGTAGAAAAAGTGTTGGAAAGCAGGATTATGAATTTTGTGTAATTTTTGTTAGAAGTCTTGGTGGTGTCTTTTTTTTGTTTTCTTTTTGCTTTGTGGATTTTTTAAGCTCGTTTTTTTAGCTTTGAGGATAAAATAATGTGGATAGTGAAGAAGCTTGAAACATCTATTCCTACCAGAACCAAAAGAATAAAATCTGGACTAATCATAGGATTCTACCTCAGAGTTCTTAGGATATATAGCCCAGAATATCAAAATGAAAAAGAGAATTATATTGAGAAATACAGTAATACCTTAAGATACAAGCATCCTGACATAGGAATTTTTTGAGATATCAGCTGGGTGATTTTTTGCCTTGCTAAGATTGAATTTTTTAAAAATTTAAGTGTCTGTTTTTTACTAATAAGGCAAAAAGTTTGTATCCTTTATAACACATTTAAAAAAACAAAATAAAAAAACATTTCGATTCACATTATATTTTTTTGTCTTGGGTGCTACCTGAATTTTACCAAAAACAAAATAATTCCCATGCCTGAAGATGACTGAATGTACAGTTGAAAGTACTTGCACATTTATGAAAGACTTTATACTTATATTTTAATAATTATTTATAATTATTACATTCTTATAATTTTAAAAAACAAGGATCATAACATTCATCGAGTGATTAGTAGGTTAATGCATCTTTAAAATTTTGTTAGCGTAGGGATTTCGCCTTTTTATATCATTAACTTTACTAATTCACTTTTTGTATGAATGATTCATTGTAATATAAGTTGAACTGCAACACATATTTGATTATATATAAAGTTTTCAGTGGTCAAGTTTGCTTTCATTAGTTTTTTAATACAGTACTAGCAGTAGCTGCAGCACAAGTCAACATTATTTGTTTCCTCTCTTTGGTATTTTTTTTTTTTTTTTTACATCAACATAAAGTCAGTTTATGAACCAGTAACAAATTTTTACCAAACAATTTTGGTATGCTTTTGCATATTTAGTGTACAGGTGAGAGTTCAAAAATTTTCCATGTAAATGTGGGTGAAGACACAAAAAAATCTTGGGAACCCTTGACGTAAGTGCTCAAATATTCAAGTTGGCAATGAATAAATAAACATGTCTATCAAATACACTCACAAATTACGAATAGTTCATAAACTAAGCTAAATATTAGAAATAAGTTGTTTTTTAAGCCAATTCTTAAGGAAAGCAAGGTGATGATACAACTAAGATGCAAGGGACTACTAGGAGTGAAAGAGAATGAAAAAAACTTTATCTTATTCAAAAGAACAGGGAGGAGTGTAGAAAGATTGTGTTGCACCAGTTATTCAGTATGGTAGTAGCAGCTTCAGCATGAGTCAAGGTTATTTGTTATCTCCCTTTGATATTTTTCTTTACAACATCATAAAGTGAGTATATGAACCAGTAACAAACTTTTACCAAACAATTTTGGTATGATTTGAATATTTACTATACAGGTGGGTGATAGAACATTTTTCCATGTGAAATTGGGCAATGATGCCATTATAA